TGCAACATTTACCTGCGAGAGAAAAGATAATGTTAGGAAAGCCCTTAAATTAGTATTCAAGGACACCATAGCCCGTCCAGTCCCAGAAGAAAAAAGAAGAAACTGGCAACACAACCGATTCTAGAGTACTCCAATTCGTGAAGGATCGTTGTAGATTCTGATCAGCTGACTTGATGTTTATATTTACATATATATTTTGTTTAATTAAAACTTATACGCAGTATATTTTATTGTTTTTATTTGAACATTTCTGTCTTTTACACCGCTTAATTAGTCGTTTTTTTTTTCTCTCTAGAAATTTTTGGGCGAATCGGAGTTCACCAGGTTATGAGTTGCCAGTTATTCCTTTCCTGACTGAAAAGTATAACAACAAATGTTAAATTCAGGGTCCGAATGCTTGAGTTTTTAACCATGGCGCTTATAAGAACTATTAAGACCCAACCGTTAGCATTACCTCTCAGTTAGAAGTGTCGCAAAAAGGAAGAACGAAAATGTTAAAACACGAAAAGCTATATTGTAAAAAGAAGAAAAAAACTTGCATGTTAGTATGAGAACGAACTTACTAGCGACCGTAGTCCTGATGACTGGCTAGTATTTTATTTATTAATTAATTTATTTATTTTATTTATTTTATTTTTTATTATTTTATTTTTTTTGGGGGAGGGGGTTAGTCGATAGTCTGTGATTAGTCATAATTCTCAAAAATTTCAATTTCAGAGTATACTAAACATATATTTGTTTATAATCAATTTTAGTACTCTTAGGCTCCGAACTTCCAAACCAGAATGTGCCAGAATATGAATAAATAAAAATCTAGTCTACCGTTGCTACACAAATTTTCTTACTACCATTAACTCCTTATGGCTTATTTCAACAGTTGTTTACTTTCCAATATAATCAAGTTGTGTTAAAGCTATCATTGTTAGATGGATTTATTATTCAATTCTCATCTTATACTATATATTGCCCGTGTAATTACTGTGGTACTTGACAAAATAATGATAATAATAACAACAATAATTGATCATAATGATAAACTACTCATGATTATAAAATAAAGACGATGATGATAGCATTAATAATAATAATAACAGGAAACGATAACAACAAGGATTATGATAATGATAATAGTAATAATGATAATAATGATAACGAATATGGTAATGATGATGATAATAATGATAATAATAATAATGATAATAATGATAATGAAGATAATGATTAAAATAATAATAATGATAATAATAATAAAATGATTAAATGATAATTAAATATAAAACTACGAAGAAAGAAGGTTTAGGAAATGCCAGACCGATGGACCGAGCTAAGAAAAACAATCAGTAATTAAGAAAAGATGGGAAGAAATTCTAAAAAAAGCAAATACTTTTGAAGGTCGACGAAGACGATAGCATTTTACAGACAGGAAAAGATGAATCTCGTATCAAGCAAGAATTTGTGCTGTTATTGCGATTTTATTTATTTATTTTTATTTTTTATTTTTTGTTAGTTTATTTACTCATTTATTTTTTATCTAATATTTTTTTTTTCTTTTTTATTCATTTTTCTCTGAAGTCGTACTTTTGCTTTGTCGTAATTTTGCCAGGAAAAAGTGACGGTAGTAAAAATAAACTTGGTAATAATAATAAAAATGATAATATATGAAATCAAATAACAAAAATAATTACATAATAGGCACTCTTCTTGCGTCGCGGAACCTCCACCAAAATTTCAAAAAATCTGAGAGAAAAAGGAATACAATAACAGGAGAAAAGGGGGAAATAAATGAATAAGAATCAGCAAGGCCAAGAACCGGGAAAACAATAACAAAATCAAGAACAAATAAAGAAAAAAAAGAACAAAAGCAAGAACACAAATAAGGAAAACAAAAGTAAGAACAAGAACAAAGCAGCTAAATCAAGAACGGCTGGAATAAAGCAAGAACAAGAGCCAAATCAAGAACAAGAATAAGGAGAACAAAACAAAAACAAGAACAAGATCCAAATCAAGAACAAGAACGAAACAAGAACAATAACAAGATCCAAATTAAGAACAAGAACAAGCTCCAAATCAAGAACAAGAGCAAAACAAGAATAACAATATCCCAATCAAGAACAAGAATGAAACAAGAACAAGAACAGAAACAACAACAACAAAAGCAAGAAGGAAAAAAAGAACAAATCCAAGAACACCGACAACCGCCGCCCTCCCACCCTCCAGCCCGGCGACCCAACGACCGAACAAGCCAGAAGTGCAGTTGGCTCTCCGCTGAGAACGAGGCACTGACCAAACTTCCTTGTGCGGAGGTGCCAATGTCCACTGTGCGACGTGATTGGGTGCGTGCCAGCGATAAGCACGGCTGAATGAGCTGGGGAGATGACGCGGAAGTGCGGAAATGAGGATCCTTCGAGGATGGGAGTCCTCGTGGCAAACGAGGTTGCTTGCGTGTGCGTGTGGGGCTTTGCGGAGACGTGTGTGTGTGTGTTGTGTGTGTGTGTGTGTGTGTGTGTTGTGTCTGTGTGTTTCTCCGTAAGCTTTGATATCTATGTAAATGAAGCTTATATATTTCCAACTGTGTCTGTGACTTTCCATCTTTTACGTGCTCGGGAAAGGACGAGCGAGGAAAGAGTTCGACCTGAGATAGACATGCAGACGCCTTTTTTCTTTAACAAATGGCATACGTGGAAGAGAAGAGGACGAGGCGGGTAGTTCCGCATATCAAAATCCTTCCTTTTGGCAAACCCTTTTCCGAAACACCATTTGTATATTTGGTCAATTCGCTCTGCAACCGTCATGTGTCATGCATGATATAAACAGGTTTCGAAACGATGATCTTGCATGTGAGTTTTGAACCAGATGATACACACTTTGAACTGGGCGACACATATAAGCATTGAAGCTGTTGATACAGCCTTTGAACTGGGCGACACATATGATCCTTGAAGCTGTTGATACACCCTTTGAACTGTGTGACACATATAGGCAATGGAACATGTGATACACTCTTTGAACTTGGTGATACATATTAGCATTGAAGCAGCTGAAACACTCCTTGAACTTAGTGATATACTCTTCGAATTAGGTGACACGTATAGACTTTGAACCGTATGATACATACAAACTTTTGAACCGGGTGAGTTGGACAACTTTAATCACTGTTAAACACACTCCCTCATCAAATACATCCTTAAAACCATTAATCCTATAAATCTCTACCTTTTCAAACACTGACCATATAACATCCCAGCATTCTAATCCTTAACTAAACACGGTGTCAACAGTCATACAAAACACACACCTAGTTCCAGAAACAAGTGACTCACCCTCCTCAAAACCAAGCAACAGTTCCCTGAAGTGATTCCCTGACTCACCGACTCAGTCCACGTCGGTCGCTAAGTGTTCTGGCACAACGTAGTCGCCGCATAAATGAAACCAATATTCGTCGTGCTGGGGCTGGTCACGCGAGGGACTTTTTGTCGACGAGAATTCGTGTGGCTACGTCGTCTGTTTCTTTTATTTGTGTTTTTTTTTATCTATTAATTATTTGTATGCTTCCATTCTTGTGTGTGTGTGTGTCGTGTTCTGTTATATTATAGATTTGGCCTTGTCATTGCTGTTAGCGTTAAGGTCCTTTTATTACCGTTATCATTGTTGTTATTATTGTTGTTTTTGCTATCATTGTAATGGTTATTACTGTCACCATCATTACAATTATTAATGATATGACTATTGTTATGATTTCATTTAGTTATTAATCTTATCCACTGTGTGAATGCTTATGTTCGTGCCTGGACGTGCATGCAATGAGAACTTAATGCCCGTGTGTGTGTGTGTGTGTGTGTGTGTGTGTGTGTGTATGTGTGTGTGTGCGTGTGTGTGTGTAGTGTGTGTGTGTGTGTGTGTGTGTGTGGTTGTGTGTGGGTGTGTGATGTGATTGTGTGTGTGTGTGCGTGTGTGTGTGTGTGTGTGTGTGTGTGTGTGTGTGTGTGTGTGCCATCCAACAACATTCATTTCATCTTAAGCTTCCAAAAACTGTGAGGTTTCTTTCGTGCTTTAAAAGTCACTGGCTCGGAGTGTTCAGGCGCGTCACACAGCCTACGGAAGTGAGATTCGCTCGGCTCTGGTAAAGGTGCAGGTCAGGCAGTCAGGGGTTAGGGGGTTCGGCCGGACAGGGGAAACGGGTGGGGGTGGGGTGGGCGTGTTCAGAGGTCAAGGAGCTCGAGAGGGTGGTTTCTGTCTGTCGCATGCATGAGAGGGGGGGGATGACAGGTTTAGGTGTCCAGCAGCCATAGGGGGAAGCGAGAGTGCCCACAGTGAACATGCAGAACAGGGGAATAGAGATGAGGTCAGGGGTCGAGAGTCCAGCAGCATAAGGGGGAGGCGAGAGTGCCACAGTGCCAGCAGAAAAGGGATGTAGAGGGGTGAATGTTAGGGGTAAGAGAGTCCAGCAGGACAAGGGAAGGGAGAGTGCCAGTAGGAAAGGGTGGGAGGTGGCCAACAGGGTCGGAAAGTCCAGCAGCGCAAGGGAAGAAGGGAGTGCCAGGGTGCCAGATAGGACAGGGAGAGGGGAACCACTCGATGCCATCAAATCGAGAGAGAGAGAAAAAAACTAGTTCGAAATTGCACAGACCTGTTGCAATTTGAATGAAACATTGCACTAAGATGACGGAGAAAGAGAGTGCATGCAGTGAACTTTGCATGACGCTGAAAACAAAAAGTGGGGGAGGAAATGAACAACCAGAATTTTTGCTGGTTGCATGAACATGTTTATTGATTTGATTATAATGATGATGTTGGGGATGATAATGATTTTTATAATGGTATGTGGATGATTACTTGTGATGGTGAGATAATGCTGACGATAATGATTTTTTTTTGGGGATGATAATGAAAACAATGAGGATGAGGATGATGATATAGATAATAGTGATAATGATAATAGTAACTGCAGCAACAATACTGATAAAAAATATTAAAATGATGGTAATCATAATGATAAAGAT